GCGTGACTGTGACAACTGCCAACATCCGCTGAGGAAAACCCAGACTAAGGAGTCACCTTGCCTGAGGTCTCCTGTCTACCCAGGGAAGGTCTGACATGAGGCCACGTCTCTTAACCCTTGGGCCCCATGTTCCTGTGTGTGATGGTGTGTGTGACAGCCAAAAATGGCGCAGGGGACACCTCCTGCCCAGGGCTGACGAGTACCATGACAGGCAGGAAACCCCAAGGAGTGCTCCCTGTGAAGACATGGTGGTGACACGGGGCACCTAGTCCCAGGCTCAGCCCTGCCATCTACCTATTGTGTGGCCTCAGACGGCTCACTCAAGCGGTTCTCTCACTAATGAACCAGCCTCTCTCTCCAGGGCTACTCTAAAGGGTCTGCTCGAAGGCTGGCTGTCCCAGCTACTCCCTCCTGAACACTGGCTATGGGAAGGCACCGTCCAGCTGATGTGTCTTGCTCATGCAATCATGTAATCCTCCTAACAGCCATCTGGAAGGCCTGTTATAAATAGAGAAATGGAAGCATGAACCAACTAAAAAACCCCCCTTGAACAAGTCTATGTAGTGTAGGATTCGCACTAGGGCTCAGCGACTGCAGCCAATACGGGGGCCCTGCCTCCAGGGGGGTGGAAGGAAAGGACACAGGGGGCTTGTGGCTCTCTGGGGGCAGTAGGGCCACCCCCGCCCATTACACTCCTGCCAAAATAGCAGCCAGGGGGACCAGGTCAGCTCAGAAGAGGCCCAGGTGCCTCCATGAGGCCAACTCCTACCGCAAGCACCAACGGTTTGCCTCCCAGCGTGGGTGATCCAGGCCTGGGTACCATCTCACACCAGCTGGCCTGATCTAGCACCCCCCCACTAGGCCCCCTTTCCCCGTCTGTAAAATGACGTTGATCATCTCTTGAAGGCAGATAGTGGTTTGGAAATACTGGCCATCCAGCATCTGCCACAGTACTGCCTGCGCTGGGGAAGGGTAGAAGCCCCAGAGGTGGGGAGATCCAGGAGCAGCAGGGGACTTGGCCCCTTCCTAGGTAGAGCCCCAAGGTGGCAGCCAGACCCCAGAGGACAAAGGCTTAATTGGTTCTCCAGAGCTTCTCGTGCTTGAGTATGTGCTGGAAGCTGTGGAATGTTGACCATGAGCCCCAAAGGGAACCCCAGGCCCCAGAAGGGACTTTGGCAGGCCCCCTGAGGTTCCTTGAGGTCCACAGGTATATGGACAATCAAGGGAACCCCCAGTGTTCAAAAGAGACCAAAGGCCAGACCAACAGAGGCCTTGGGATGGGGATCAAAGGAGCAGGTGGTGGGAAGACACAGGGCGGGGAGAGGGGAGAAGATGACCAGAGGATCCAGTGCTAACCTAGGACCGTGGTGGGTACCCCAGGCCCAGCGCCATGGTCCAAGAGTCTGCAAGAACTCACAACGTATTCAGGGAGGGGGAAAGTAGCAGGACACAAAAAGAAAAGAAAAAGACAAAATCAAAATTAACAAAGTTTAAGTAAATATCTGTGAGACAAGGCACTGCCAAGTAATAAACTGAACCCAACTGAAACAGGTGTATATGAGTGACCTTTAATGTGGAAAGCAGGCAAATTTTCATGTGTGTGACAGGGTGTGGGATTCAGCCTCTAAAATTCAAAGTGCCACAGGCCTGCCCACCATCTTCAAATGGGCCATCCCCAAAACGTATATGCATCCTGTTAGAAAGGAGGGGCTCCCAAATCGATTTGAGATCCCTTTTCTACCATGTGAGGGAAGGAGAATGTGACAAAGAAATTCAGGCCAGTTGCAGAGAAACAAGGCACTGTTCCTCACACAGGTTGTTGTGTAAGGACAAATCCTGGGTCAAGGCCATGGCCACTGTGCCGGGCTGTGGTCAGCCTCTTCATCCCTCCAGCTCCTTCCCATTTCAGCAGCTGGTTCTGCCAGCCTCCTGTTCTTTTACCTCCGGAGCAGAGCTCTGCCAGCCCCTTTTCCTTCAGACCTAAGTGAGTCAATCAAGACTTTGAGGAAAGACGTCAGGAAGCTGGGTTTGAGTCTAGCTCCTCCTTCGTCTCACTGTGTGATCCAAGGCCGGGCCCATCTTCACTGTAGCCAAGCCTCAGTCCCTTCATCTGTGCAATGGAACAACGATGCCTACCAGGGCTGCTATATGAGGACCGGGGAGGCCACAGCTCTGTGAGACTTGCTTTTTCAACAGCCTGGACTGCACCGGGATTTGACTAACCAAACCAAACCAAAGGAAAAAAAGGTTTGCGTTAAACTATCCTGAAACCTGGGACTGGGTTTCGCAAGCAGAGCTCTGTCTGGGGGAGGTGAGTTTTCATTTCTCTCCGTGGTTTTGGCCCGGGATCCTCGTCTCCTATCCCAGCCCACGGAGCCATACTGGAGCTGAACTGGAAGGGAAGCAGGTTGTGGGGGGGGCGGGGGTTGGGGACCCGCCGGCTTGGCTCCAGGAGGCCTGAGTCAGCGGGCAGGCAGGCAGGGCGGGCCCAGTCCTCGCATGCTTGGGGAGGAGACGGAGACGGTGCAGGAATGTTCCTTCCGCACAGGCCTGGGCCCTGCCCACCGCGTCCCGGCTCTGGTTCATGTGGATGCTGCAGCCTCAGCTCTGGCTGGACAGATAGGAGTTGCCTGGAGCTTCACTGGGTGGGTTCAGCCAGGGCCTTGCTGAGGCAGGAGGGGCTGGCCTTGGGGACTGGCCGCAGAGCTACCCAGAGCTGGGTTCAAGCCCTTGAACCTCCTCCAGCCCCACTGGGTGACACCGCCAGCCACCACGCTCCACTAGACCTCGAGTTCCCCACCTGGACAGGCCAATGTCAGAAGACGGGTGATACCACTGGCTCCCCCAGGAGGGAGCACAGGGGGGCAGTCTAGAAGCAGCAACACAGGTGACACCTTTGCTATGAGCACATGTGACTTGTAGCCGTGTTTGAGTGTGTGTGGCTCTGTGTGGGTAGGACAGTGGGACAGCTATGAGTGAGGACACGATGGGACCGGTGCTCTGAAGAGACGACACATGTGCAGCTGTGGCCGTGAACGTGTGACGGTGGGCAGTGCCGTGGCTGGGAATGCCCCTGTTCGAGCATGGGACTGTGCATTTGTGTGCAGATGTGCACACAGGTATGGCCTATGTCCTTGTGGGCAGGGTGTGTGGCCGCATGTGGCTGTGCCTGCTTGGGGCTGGGTGGCTCCAGCTGGGACTATGTGGACGTGGGGATGACAGCATGGCCGTGCCACAGGTGGAGGAGAGGTTCTGAGCTGGCCCTGGAGCCCCCGTCTACCTGCCTCCCCTCCAATGGTGGCACAGCTGTGGCAGAGCCATGGCATGGTAGTTCACGCCTCCCCCACCCCAGCGTGTCAGGGAGGCAACAGATGCAGGATCTGAGCACTGCCTCCATCCCCCCCCCCCACATGTGGCCACAAAGCCAACTCCTTTCATGGCCTGGACCAAGACTGGGGATCAGAGATTCGGATCACCCCACCCCCAGGTCCTGATAGCTGCCCAGGGCAGAAAGAGGGGCCTTGTTTCCCACCCCCTTGGAGCAAAGTGAGGGAGGGAACTGGAGGCAGCTGGGCCCAGCTCAGTCTGGATCATCTGCCTGGCTAGTGACTGAGGCTCCCAGCGGGCCCTGCCACCACCAGGATGCTCTCACACCTCCCCCAACTGGTCCCCCAGGTCCACCCTGAAAGGGGCTCCGGTCAGCCCAGACTAATCTCAAACTACCCCCCCAATACCCCAACCCACAGAGAGACAGAAAGAAACCTGAGGGAATGTCTGTGACATCCTTCCTCCCCATTATACAGAAGCCTGCCCCAGCCTAGCTAGCTCGGGATGCCCACAGTAGACCTGGCTTGTCCCAGGACTTCACTTCTGGACTCTTCTCCCAGGGGCACACCCCTCCTGAGTCAAGCGTCAGACTGCCTTCCTCACCCTGACAACGGGAGGCGTGCAAGGTGCCCCCGACCCCAAGGAAGGGACACAAGAGGGTAAAACTCTTCCCAGGGCAGGAAGCATGAACAGGGGACTTTCCAGGCACTGTGGGTTAAGAAAGGCATTTCCACCACCCCGACCCAGACTGACCTCAGTAAGAAGCCTCCCCCACTGTGCCCAGAGTTCTGTCTACAGAAGGCTGCCTGGAGGTCAAAGCGGGAAGGCCCTTGGGTGGGTTGGAAAATGGAGGGAGGGAAAATTCCACAGAAAGTCCCAAATCTGACCTAATTTTGACCCAGGGCCAAGGGCCCATTCCAAAAGTTTCTCTGAGGGTGCTCTGCCCTGAACAGGGAGGCTTTGCTGCCCCTTTCCTACTGCACCCGCCATTCCTCACCCCTCTCACTGCTGTGAGCTCCCTGGGCCCCTGGCCTGGTCATAGCCTCCCCTGGGGCCCAGCCCTGCCAGCCCTATCCCCTTGCCCTGAAAGAGACACGGGGTTTTCTAGCACCCCTCCTTCCCACGTAGAAACTGATTCTTGCTCATCCTAACTGGGACATCGCTGAGGGACTGGCCAGGGCAAGGGAAGGGCAGTTCTCCTCAGCTCCCAACATGGAAGCCACCACGGGACTGGGTGCCCTGGAATGCTTGGGGAAGTTCCCAAGTGCCCCCCCCCCCCCCCCCCGGGTCCCCCCCCCCACCTCCCACCTCTCTTGGACCAGGGCCTCCCTGGGGCACCCCCTGTCCATTAGACTGTCCTGGAGCCTGGCATCCTCTCGCACTCCTGACATCACTGATCACTGAGCAGCGCAGAAAAACCCTCAGGCAGGACTCCACCCATTTGAGAGATGAGGAGCATGAGGTCTGAGAAGGATGGTGTCCAGCTGGGGTCCACGGCCACCTCTAGCTCCCCAGCTAGCACCTGCTATCGGCACAGCCCTCCCCACAAGCTTTACAGGTTTTGTGCCCACTACGACCTCACAGTCTAATAGCTCCCAGGGACACTTGGGGTTTCATCCTTCCCCCACCCTCAATCCCTTTGGGATCCAAACAAACAAACAAACAAGCCATGCTTTTGTTGTCTTAATTGCAAAAGGTTTATCAAGAAAACAAGAAAGAAAAAAAGATTCAAGCAACAGGAGCCAGAAGTGGCCATGACCTCCTGGGGAGGCCAGCAGTGGCACCTGTCAGTTCCCCCAATCCTGATGGCCCACACCCTGGCCTGGGAGAAGGGAATAGCCCCCTTGAGGATGTAAACATGGGTGGGAGACAGCACAACCTGGCTGGGGAGGGAGCCGGGGCTGAAATCACAGTGAGGCTGGCCATAGGCGCGTGGGCCCAGGACTTCTGGGGCAGTGGGCAAGCCGGCCCCTGTATTTTTCCCCTTGGCCTTCCCTCTGTGCAATAGGAAGGATTCTGGGATTCACTGGGGCCTGCGCCTGCTCAGAATGTGGAGAGCTGTTGCTGGTGAACTCAAATATCTGGTAACTTTTGGGTGTCCTCTCCACGAAGGTGCCACCAAGGTCCTGGGGTCAATGGCTTGTCTCAGCACCTTGAGCTCAGGGAAAAGATGCTTCATGGTCCCCTAACCAAGGGCTAATGGAGGCTCAGGAGGTGGAGGGGAGTCAGGAGGGAGTTGGCCTGCAGCTCCTCCTAAGGGAACAAAGTGAGGCAGGGACAGCGACATGGGAGGAAGAGCCCTTCCCTCTGTCACAAAGGCCAAAATCCCCACCAAGGGGCACCAAACTTACTGGGGAAAAGTAAGGGAGAGAAGAGGGGTGTCTTCATGTCTTCACACCTTTGCCCATGCTATTCTTCTCTTCTGAATGTCCCCTCCACCCTTGGCTCCATCTACTGTCTGCCAGGTCCTTGTCATTCTCCAAAACACTACTCAAATGTCACTTACTCTACGGAGCCTTCCCTGACCAGCAGAATGAGTGGTTCTTTCTTTAAGCTTTCAGGAAGTCCTTATTTACCATCAGTCACTCTGCGTTGCCCTTGTCTGTTTCTGTGTCTGACCCCAGCTTGCCTGGGGACTCCCTGAGGGCAGGCATGTCGCAGCCCTGGTACCCAGCTGGTATCTGACATGGGGACCGCAGCAGGGCCACCCCGTGCCTGTTGAACGAGCGTGGGGGTGGTGGCCAGGTGAGTGAGCACTGCAGGTTCTAGGGGAGGCTAAGGCCGGGGTCCAGCCTCAAGCGCTGACCCACAGCCCAGGCCTCGGCCTGGAAGGTTCCTGACGCCGATTCACCCCTGCTGTGCCCCTTACCTCTAAGAGCTGGGGGACTTCCACAGGGGGACCCAGGACTCGTCCAAAGCCCCCACAGCCCTCCCAGCCACTCCTGGAGCAGGTGGGTCTAGTGAGCAGAGCACACGGCGGCGACCAGGCCGAGGCGCAGGGCGGGGGCTGGGGACACATGGTCAGAGGCTGTCGTACATGCGCAGCGTCTTCTCCAGCTGCTGGCCCACCCGCTGGTAGAAGAGGATCTGCTGGCGCAGGTAGTTCTGCATCATGTGCTTGAAGTCGAGCTCGCGGCGCTGGTGGAAGTGGTTCATTTCGGCCTGCAAGGCGAAGCCCACCACGCGGCAGCGCCTGCGAATGCCATCGGCCTCGTCCTGCGCCATGCGGCCCTCGTCACTCATGCGTTGGCTCTCCTTCACCTTGGCGAAGGCGCCTGGCACAGGCACAGTGGAGGAGGACAAGGGAAGTTAGGGCTCTGGTCTGCCCACTTTGCTCCCTATACCCTCCAGGAGCCCCCTCAGGGACAGCCACCTGGGTGTTTCCCCCAGGACCTCCTCCAAACCCTCACCATCGGGACATCTTCCCTCCAGACCTGGGGCACTGCCAGCGGCCTGTGGCACCCAGCCCGTCACAGCCCTGCTGGCTGTATCAAGTTCCAGGACAGGGCCGTCCTTACCCAACACCAGCATCGTCTCTCACACTGGCTCCTAATCGGCTCGGACGTCACCTCCTCCAGAAAGCCTTCCCAGCAGCCCCCCACGGCATGAGGTACCTCCCCGTGTTCCTGGGGCTTCCATCAGCCCAGGCTCTTACCACCCTGTGCTTGCTCTGCCTGCCTCCCTCTGCTCTGTGAGCTCAGTGTCTCCAGCACCCAGGACCCGGCCTGGCCCCCAGGAGAGCTGGGTACAAGTCTGATGAGTGGATTCGACTGGTCCCTCCATGAGCAGCAACTAAGGGGCTCCCACCTCAGGCCCAGTGTCTAAGAGGTTCTCCACAGCACCTGACGAACAGCCAAGAGGGATGCCCCTCTACCCGCAGATGAGGGTTGCTGGCTGTCTGCCCAGCCGGGAGGCGCTCCAGGAGTTAGCCCCTGCACCCATTCCACGCTGACCCCGTGTTCATCAAACTCACCCTGCTCTTTCCTACCACCACCTTTCTGCCCATAAGATCTTTCTGCATAATTTAAGGCCCCTGATCAGACTTGGGCAGCATCTCCCTGCCAGAGCCTCCCACAGTGCCCCCAGGTCAGATGCCTCCCACACCTCCCGACCCCTCTCCAGGGCGCTCCCGACCCCCATCACTTGACTGATTCAAAAAACAGCACCTCAAAGCCACCTGGAGTTTTATTTTGTGTGTGTCTCCCCACACACAGGCCCTGCCCCTCCTCACACCAGCCTAGAGGGACCAGAGGAGGCCTTGCACTAACCAGGTGACAGATGGCAGACGGGGGACAAACCTGGGCAGGGGACCCAATTTAGAAGAATATGAATAAATCAGCAAGCAGTTGGCGAATGAATTTCAGATCCGCATTAACAGGCACTTGACTGACTGTGCACTGAAGGCTGCGGGGCCAGTTGCCGGGGGAAGGAGGACGTCTTCCGGGGCCTGGCGTGCACTCCTTGCAGGGCTGTAGGGACTGCACTGTGCAAAGCAGGGTACAGGTACAGGAAGGCCCGTAACACAAGACAACACAGCCCCGAGCACTTGAGAAGCATCCAATCACGCCAACAGCCCGCTGGGGCCCTCTGACTCTTGCTCAAGTTGTCTAATGCATTCGAGATCCTTCTTTCGGTCATTTACTCTGTGGCAGGCCCAGGGCTCCACATACTGGAAACAACTACAGAGGCATCCATAGGAGCTGCCAAGTGCATGGCTAACAGGGACATCTGGGGTGGGCAGACACGAGTTTGGAGGATCTCCAGGGTCGCTCACACTGCACTCGAAAGAACTCCGCCGTCACCAGCTCCCAACCCACTTGCTCCTTCTGCCACCCTCCCTGAGCTACCTCCCGCCTCCTGTTCCATCCCAACTGCCCCAGTCTGGGCAGCACAAGAGGGACCATCCCAAGGCCCAGCACAAGGACTCAATAAGAGACTTCGGAGCTAAAGAGGTCCTAGAGGCCAGCAGCACAGAGGAAACTAAGGCCCTACCGGGGAGGACTTCCCTAGGGCCTCCCAGCCTCCTTCGTGCCCCATATGTGGGGGTGCAGAGGTGCCCCCCACGGCTGGGGGGGTGGACATCTACTGCAGAGACCCCATGCCAGGTCACCCAGGTCACCCCATCTGCGTGAGGCCCCCAGATAACAGACAAGGAACCTACTTGAAAAGGACACACTAACTACCTTAGATTCCAGCTGCCTTAAAAAAATCTGGGTGCAGCGAGGGTGGACCCAGATTCCAGAGGGCTTTTCTGACCTTGGAGGAGAGAAAGTTTCCTTTTGTTGATGGGGAGACAGAGGCCCAAGTAATAGAAATGAATCTATTGCAATTGCTAGGCATCCACACCCAGGCAGGGGGCCAGCAACAGGGGACAAAAGCTGTGGAGGGGAGGGGACAGGCGGAGGTCCCACCCTGCTCTCTGTCACCTCTCCACCCTGTGACTCAGATCTGGGGCTGAGACCGACCAACCCTAACATACCCTAGAGACAGGCTGGGAGTTGGGGCTCAGGCCCATCGGGCAGCTCTGCTATATTCCATGTAGGACTCAACCCCAGAGCTCAGGACCCAGGGAAGCCTCCTGCCCTGGCAGGTGTCCTGTAGGCTGGATCCCAGGAACTAGGAAAGGAGGTGGGGTCCCAGACACACTCCCGAAGCTCTCACCTAAATCTATCCTGTCCCCACCTCTCCAAGGTAATCACCCCCAACCCACGTCAGGGACAGGAGGTCTGAGACCCCGTCCCACCTGTGTCACTTCCAGAAAGCCACTGGGCCAGAGGTCTCCCAGCTGTCCAGTGGAACAGGCTGGATTAGGTCGGATGCCACTGACTACTGCTCTTGGCAGTACAGTGATTTTGAGTTTCTAGATCTAAAAAATGGGATCATAACTGTCCCCACCCTAGAGTGTAGTTAGGATTTAACAGAACTCATCTGTACAAAGTACTTAGGCCAGCACCCAAAAGAGCAAGAGCTTAAGATGCTCCGTGCAACCGTGTGCAGACTGCTTTTTCAGTCATAGCAAGCACCAGCTGCTGGTGGCTGGTAGCAAGAGGCTTCTCTTTGTTTATGGAAGTGTAGGAGGGGAGGGAGAGGGAGGGTTAGATGATAGCCTGGAACACAGAGGTCAGGCCTGCCCATCCCCCCAGACAAGCACTTGGTCCTGCTGTGGACATGCTGCCACAGCCAGCCTAGGAGTCCCATGGCTGCTGCCACACGCTGTGAGTTCCTGGGCCTGCTTCCAGCCCACCAAGCATGCTAACTGAGTTAGCAGGGTGCTAAGCACCCATCCTCCCTCGTCCTTCCCCTCTGCCTCATCTACCTGTGCACCCATCCCTTGGGGTGCTCCTTCACCCCATCTGTCTGGCACAGGGGAACCAGCCTGGGTGGTGCACTCAGATACCCCTGGGCCCCAATTTCTGCTCTGCGTATCATCCCCACCTCACTGCACCTCATCGGGAAAATACAGGGGACCATAGTAACTTCCCTGCCCTGCTGGCTCACAGGGAGAGGCCCTGGATAGGCACTATTTCCCCTTGTCCCAGTGTAACTATGACTGGGGCCCCTTTTACCCCAAGACTGCCCGGGTTTCAATGGTTAATTATATGGTTCCTCTTCTCTTAGGAGACCCCTGGACTGCTGGGCCACTGGGCAGACAGAGTGGTGGCCTTCATCTCAGTGCCAAGTAGACTCCATGATCCGTTTTACCAAGGGGGACACTGAGGGAGGAAAAACACCCTCACGGTCATCTCAGAGGCAATATGTGTCCAGATCCTGGCCTCCTGACCCCACCTAAGCCTCCTGTCTCCTTCCTTCCATGGCCTCTGCCATATGCTTGCCATCTTTCAGATGTCCTGATGGACTAGACAGTATTCTGGAGATCTGAGGCCCAACTTTCCTGCTCCTCTCTCTAAGAAAGGGTCCCACCCACAAGGCCAGCATGGAATTCCTTCTCCCCCCATCAGGCCGTGGTCCTCCAAACCTGCCCAATTCTGTCTCAGCCAGATCCCAAGCCCTCCTCCCTAACTGGCCCAGCCACAGCCCAGAAGGAGGAAAAGTAAGCCCAAATGAGTTGGCCCACCGGGGAGGGGTCCTAAGGGTGAGGGAAGGTGGGTTCGCCTCTACCTAAGGTTGAATGCATGAGCCCAGATGACTGCTGGACCCTCACTCTCAGAAAGACCTCAAGGAGACACTCGGAAATGGCCTCTCTTAGCTCTGCGTCCCTGCTCCTCTGAAAGGCCGGCCTGGCATCACTGCTTCCTGCTTCAGTGCAACCCTGGGAGCCCTGGCTGGGGAAGAGGCCACCCTCCTTCCCCAGCTCTGGCCCAGGGTGGCTGTTTACTCACTGTGCCCCTGCTTTCCCCCGCCACTGCCCACACAGACACACGCGATCCAAGGAGCTGGTTGAACCAGCTTTCCCAGGCCTGAGTGCAGCAGTGAACGTGCTTCTACTTCCGGCCGGGGAGACACCTGCCCCACAGGCCCCGGTCAGCCATCCGCCTCCGCCGTATGCCTGCCCCAGAGCTCAGAGTCAGCTCTAAGGCATGACCCTGTTCTCCACCAGATCCTCCCCAGGAGGCTCCCCTCCTGAGAGTTCACTGGGTTGACCCTCCCTTGTTTTCTAGATCAGGAAACTAAGGCCCAGAGAGGGGAAGGCACTTCCCAGGAATACCCAGCAAACTGGGAACACAGCCAAAACTAGAACTCAGGGCTCATGTTTCCTGAAGCTGAAGGAAGGTGGAAGGAGGAGGACTGGAAGGTGAAGGTGAGAAAAAAGGGCAGGGAAAGGAAGGAGGATGAGAAAGTGAGGGGAGAAAGGAACCTGGGAGATGGAGAAGTTCTCGAAGGCGATCTCCTGGTAAAGTAGAACAGGGCTGGCGTACTTCGGGCTCTCCTGGATACGGAGGCAGAGGGTGGTGTTTGCTGTCCCCCCCGGCTCAGTCCAGAGGTCTGCCTCCGGGCCCCACCCAGAGGAAAACTCCGCACCAAGCCAGGCCTGACCTCAGGGCCTAGGGGCCCGGGAGCCAGCCCCACGCCCTGCAGACGTTCTTCCGGAGTTACCAAGCAGCCCCAGGGAGAACCACACCTCTCTCGACATCTGCCCGGCCTGTTGTCCCAGGACTCAGCCAACTGCCAGTTCAGCCCCTCACTCACTGCGCAGGCAAGAGAAGCCAGGTTCAGGAAGGGGGAGTTGAATGGGCCATGTGGGTAGTGCCCCGAACCCCTGTTCCTCCCCTGGACCAGCCCGGGTGCCCCTAGGTGACCTGGGATGAGTCACTTCCCTGGCAGTTCCTTGACGGCCCAACAGTAACAGACAGGGGCTCATCCTGTCCCTCCCCCACGGAGGGGGGCCATGAGAACTGAAAACACAGCTGGGCTTGGGAACTGGCCAACATGGTTGTGTCCTTAGGGAGGCGCAGGAGGAAGGGACAGTCTCAGCTGAACCACGGACTCCCTGTGCAGACAGCCTTCTGAGGACATCAGCTTCTTCATCTGCAAAATGGGGACAGTGGGCCTCCCGCACATGGACAGGGAGCTCACAGATAGGGTATGCAGTGGGACGAACAGGCTCCAAAACACGAGGGCAGGGAGTAGAGCTTGAGAGGAGTGGGAAGACAGGCCACACTCTGTGCTCTTGTTATCTGTGTCCCTGTCCCCCACGAGCCTCTGGGCTCCTCAAGGGCAAGGCCTGGGCCCCAGTCATCTCCATGTTCCCAGACTCAGCCTGATACCTAGACGGGCTCAGCACAGAATGGCTAGATGATCAAATGAGACAGAAACAGAAAAAATGGAATGCACGAGCAAACGAATGGACAATGAAAGGTAAACAGCGAGCTCCACAAAGTCAGGGACCAGAGCTGTCTACAGTAACATCCCACACATAGACCAGCACCTACCCCATGGCAGGTGCTCAACACAATGAGGAATGAATGAATGAGACAGAAAGACTAGACGGGCTGCTCCTATTCCCCTAGGCTATCCTCAGATTTCCAGTGCTCCGCAGAGCACAGACTCAGCAAGGGTCTCCTGCCCACTCTGGCTCTTACCTTTCTGCAGGTGAATGATATCAGGGAAGTTTGAGAGCAGGCCCTGGTAGAGGGAGAGCGTGTCAAGCATCTGGAAGAGGTCGTTTTTGGGCTGCTCGGCAAACATCTCACCGACAGCTTCATAGGTGCGGCCCGTGTGAGAAATGGCGCTGTTGAGGGCCTCAGAGCTAAATGGGGGGTCCATCTGGAAGGCATGGCTGATGGCCTGGAAAGCACTGCCCAGCTTCTGGAACTCCTTGCGGAAGCCCCCCCACATGCTTGCGCACCAGTTCCGAAGCCACGGTGCTGAGCTGCAGGACGCTGTCGTCCATCTTCTTGCTGAAGGCCTTGAAGGTGTCCACACGGTCCTCCACGTCCTGCAGGTCCTGGTGCTCTGTGGGGATCTGGAAGGTGAGCAGGAAGCTGGCACCCACCATCTCATCCTTCTCCGCCCGGCGCTTGCCCATCTTCCACTGCTTGTCATCCAGGCAGCTGAGGAAATGCTGGAAGCCCTCATACTGGGACAGCACGGGGTGGCTGGTCATGTGGTCCATCCAGAGAATGAGTCGACGCTTCCGCTTCTCAATAAAGTCCTCCTCGAAGCGTCCTGTGGCCTGCTTCTCCGGCAGGTGGGGCACCGAGATGACAGTGAACTTGTGCAACAGGCGGTTATAGAGCCAGTCAAAGTGTTTGTAGCGCCGGTAGACTGGCGAGCCGGCATGGGTCGGTGTGAGCTTGTAGGAGATGTAGCTTTTGATGCCCTTGAACTTGGTCTGTTTGGTGGGGTCCTCCACGGAACAGGCAAACGGGTGGGGGTTGGCCTTCCACTGGGGCCCACGAGGGCCCATTTCAATGGAGTACGTCTCGGCGATCTTGGCCATCATGGGCACATCACCCAAGATAAAGGCCTCCACTCCAGAGCGCACGAAGCACGAGAAACGGTTGAGGTTGCGTCCCACCACGCTGCCACGCTTGGCAGACGCCAGGCTGTCCTGCCGCTCCAGGGCTGGCTTGGGCCGAAAGGCCATGTGCTGGCTGGGGTAGGCACCAGGATAGGAGAGGTTGAGAGGGGGGTGCCCGTTGGTGCCCAGCCCACCAACCCGAGGCTCCTCTACCACGGTGCTTCCATCGTCCCAGTCATCCCAGTCATCGTCATCATCCTCCTCAAAGCTGCCCTGGTGTGAGAGGAAGCCACTGACCCCACCACTCCTGGAAGGGCTGGCCACACCGGAGCTGTCACACAAGCTCACCTGGGTGCCCAGAGAGCCTGGGCTGCTGGAGTAGTCGGCATGGTTGGGGCTGGCACCAGACCGGATGATCTCCACGTAAGAGGCAGGGAAGAGCCCTGTCTCCCCGCGGCTGTTCTGGCCCTGCAGCCAGCCATCCAGCGAGGTCTCACTGAAGATGACCAGGTCCTCATCCTGATGGATGCTGATCTCCTCCTTGTTCTCGCTGCGGAAGTCATAGAGGGCTCGCCCTTTCAGTGCCATGGCTGGGCCAGTGGTAGAGAGAGAAGAGGACAGCGTCCTGCCCAGAACTGGGAATGCACTAGCAGCTCAAGGCCTGTCACAGCAACTCAGTCTCTTGGCCCCTAAACTGGGGTTTACTACCCACAGATGCTGTCCAGCCTCCCACTACTCAAAGCAATGTCCGAGGCCCATTAACTGCCTATTATTATTAGGTCTCCGGCACACTCCTGTGAGCAGGGAGAGATCATGTCCATGTAGTCTCTCCTTTCTTCCCCTCCCAGAAGAAAAGTCAAGTGAACTGGAGAAATCAGCTTTAAGAGGGCAAGAATTTGTTTGACACTTTCCACTGGAACAATGTTCTAAAACAGAAGAGAATCACTCAAAAACCACCGTTTCAGAAACCGAGGCAGCTCTGGCTCTCAGCTCCTCCAGGCTGCTCTCACATTCCTCTGCAGATCTGCTCCTTCCTCCTTCCTCCTCCTCCTGGGCCACTGGGTTTTCAAAAATCCAGAAAATCCAAGAAGGGCATGGAGAAAAGCAGCAGCCTCTTGAATCCAGTCCAAGGGTGGATGTGTCCGGCTTCACAACGAGCCAGGCCGGGGGGGAAAACAAGGACTGAGGCTTACACAACAGGCCGCCAACTCCGTCGACCCTGGCGGCCAGCCGGCTCTGGCCCGGCCTCTGGCCCCCCGGGCCCCCAGCCCTCAGCCGGCTCAGGAGCCTTCTCCCCGCCACCGGAGCGGCCAGCCCCCACCCTAGGGAAGGAGGGGGCGCGACGAGGCGCTCTGGCGACTTCTGGCCACTATCTGAGTGGCCTCTTTTGTTTGCCTAGCTCCTCCGCAGTTTCTGAGCCTGAAGCTGACCCTGATCTGAGTCCAAGGATCCCGTCCAAAGGTAAGCCCCGCGGTCCCCGGTCCCGGCGCGCAGGCCCTGAAGACCCCCAGCCCTGGCGTGCACGCACACACTCAACAGGAGTTTGGAGAGTGCGCTCCGGCGAGCAGATGGCGCGCCCGGCCGGCTGGCGCTCGGTCCTCCGCTCGGCCCCGCGGTGTCCGGCCGGCGGGCGCCGGGCTATGCCCCCGGCCCGCCTCCTCGTTCAGCACTCGCAGCCCTCTGCGCCGCCGCCAGCTAGAACCTAGCTCCAAAACAACAGAAAAAAGGGATTCCGGGAGGCGGCGTCCGGAGAAAGGAGGGAATAGTCGAGGGGGAGGTGAGGGGTGGGGAAAGGGAGGGAGGGAGGGAGGAAAAGCTGGCTGGGGAATTGGGCAAACTCCACCGCACTTCCCGTGCGTCCTGGCTGGGCAGGCACGGCCCGGCTCCGCCCTCCCGCGGCCTGGAGCGCTGCAGCCGGGGGCCCCCCCCTCCTACTCCTCGCGGCTTTCCTGCTGGCGCTTGCCCTCCCTCGCTCGCTCGAGTCTGGGGCTGAAGGAGGGGGCCGGGATTCTCCAGGACCCCCCTGCCAGTCCGCCCCGCGGGGAGACACCTCTCACCCGAGGAGCTTGAGCACTGCCGCCGCCGCCGCCGCCGCCTCGCCTCGCCTCCTGGGTTCTGTCACCCTCCTGCCTTTCCCATGACGCAAGTGACGGAAAACTCCGAAAGTTTGCAAAGTGAGGGCTTTCGAGGAGGATGCCAGAGCCAAGACCCGGGGGAGGGGATCGAAGAAGGGTGCCAGGAGAGCCGCCAACGCCCCTCTCCCATTCCCCTGCACTTTCACCCCTTCCCTGGAGAGACAGGATGAAACTGGGCCGTGGCGCAGCCTGGGGATTGTTCTCCGGAGGGGGCCCCAGGGCGGCCCCAGTGCCAGCAGCGCCCTCTGGGAAGAATCCTTAGAGCCCTGGGATACTTACCGCAGCAGGTCCTGGTACTTTAGCCAGACAGGGGCAGAAGCGCCCCCTGCCCTGGGAGACTTCCTTCAGAGGGAAAGACCTAACCCTACGTATGTAGCAACCGGGAACAAGCTTAGGCACGACCGGTTCCGTGATGCTTTGTGCGGCCACGGGGACTAGATGTTCATCTGCAGTCAGCAGCAAGGAGAGAGGGGTGATCTACAAAAGCTTGGGCGAAGAGGCAGGGGGGGATCTGACACTTGGTCAGCCCAGCCGGGACACTTTGGTCGCTGACTGTGGGGCACTCTGTTGGGGGCTGGGGATTACATCACAACAGGCAGTAGGTATTGTGCCTTCTTGGGTTTACAGTCCGGCGTCTTGTCTTTAATTCATCTATCCTGTGTCTGTCTCACTCATTCAGTCATGCAATCAAGGAAGCATCAATTTAGTAATCATTCTGTATCAGGCCCCCTAGGCTACAAAGATAAATAAGACGTTGTCCTTACCTTCCTGAAGCTCAGATATGTCAGAAGAAGACCGGTAACTCCCTACCCAGTGTCACCAGGGGCATGAAATGTGCATGGGAGGGCACTTGTCCCGTGGCTGGAGCAAGGATCAAGGAAGGCTTCCTGGAGGAGGAGGTGCTTAAGGTGAGACCAAGGCTTTAGCCCCTACTCCTCTTCCTGGCTATGCCCTGGAGCCTTGCCTACCCCCTAACAGCTAGAACATCCTTCCTCCTCATTCTGACTTTTCCTACTTGTTGAAGATTAATTGGTACAAGGTAGAGCTGCTAAAGCTGGGCACCTTTGGCTGGTTTTTTTTGTTGTTGTTTTGGTTTGGTTTTTTGTTTTTTTTAAAGATTTTCTTTATTTGACAGACAGAGATCACAAGTAGGCAGAGAGGCAGGCAGGGGTGAGGGGAAGCAGGCTCTCTGCTGAGCAGAGAGCCCGATGCAGGGCTCAATCCCAGGATCCTGAGATCATGACCTGAGTTGAAGGCAGAGGCTTTAACCCACTGAGCCACCCAGACTTCCCACCTTTGGCTGTTTTGAGGGTTATAGGTGCAGGTCTCTGGCCCCAAAACCCAAGTTCATTGGTACAGTGAGTAGATCGGATTCCCTATATGCAGGGCTGGCATATGACCTGAATAAAGGCTATGTACAAACCCCTGAAGGCCAGGTTTTTTTTTTTGTTTTGTTTTGTTTTTTTTGTCACTGTAGTTGACATACAATACATGAAACTAAAATACATTAGTTTCAGGTGTACAATATAGTGATTTGACAATTACATATATTACCAATTGCTCACGGTGTTAAATGTAGTGACCAGCCCAGGTATTAAACTGCAAAGAGAAATACAACTGGTCAGGCAGGCCTGAATTTTTGCATCAACAGAGCATGGCAGTCTGAGCTGCTCCTTAGGAAACCCAGTTACCAGAAGGTTAGCTCAGAACCAGAAAACCCCATGATAGGAAAAGATGGTGTGACAAGTCTTTTAGCCAAGAAATCTTGAGATCTTGACCCCCACAATAGGGGCAGCCTTGATTCTAAGGAATCGGGTCATCCTACTCTTGCTACAACCAGAGCTGGAGTATGTTTCCCCCAGCTACTTTTGGGATACCCCTTCTTTGTGATCTCTCTTCAGTTCCCATAGCCTCTCTCCAAGCTGAGCCTGACAACAGCAACTTCTTCATCAGTGCCACACAATGCCGTAAACGTTTTACCTTTATTAGCTCCATTAATACAATCAGTAGGATTTCTGCTTACCCAACCAGGGTCCTAGTCCAGCCACCACCCTGATAGCCTTTGAGTTGGTTCCCAAACACCTCAGTCACACATTCACAGACCAAGAATCTCAGACTTGCTCCCACATCTGTTCTGGGTGGGGTTTTTCTAACTCTCAGGAGCCACCCTTATGTCCAGGTTCTTGGGAAAAATTCTCTTGAGTCTCATAGAGATTTCCATCCTGTACTGGCATCTTCTATTCCCTCCCTTTCAATGACCCTCTTGAAGTCTAGGGATAACACCACTCCCCCCACCCACCCCAGCCCGGGTGCTAGTCCCTGGGAACTGCACTAACCTTTGTGGTTTCCCTACACCCTGCCCATTCCCTTGAGACAAAGTCCTTTTATTTAATTCTCCTCACATTATTCTTTTTTAAAAAGATTTTTTAATGTATTCATTTGACAGAGGCAAAGAGCTCAAGCTGGGGGAGCGGCAGAGGGAGAGGGAGAAGCAGGCCCCCCGCTGAGCAGGGAGCCCAACCCTGGGATCATGACCAGAGCCAAAGGCAGCCAGCTGCCTCTCCTCACATCGTTCTATTTGGAGTGTGTTCTCTTTCCTGCTAGGGCCCTGACTCATGCTCAGCAAACAGCATCCATTCCCCATCCAAGCACCCAACTCTCCTCCTTTAGCAAAGGAGTCAGCAAAGAGAACTGCAGCCAGTGGTTTCCAGGCTGACCCCACTGGTGGCAGCGAGGGTACATGGGACTACACTGTAACAATGCACACGAGAGGACAAGAACCTGAGATAGTGCAAAGGTACCGGGCTAGGGAGAAGTAAATCTGGGACTTAATGCAAGTAGAATGGACTGGAATGGCATCCAACAAGCTGTGGGTATTGAGGAAAAGAGTCAACCCACATCTTTAAAAAATAGATTCTCCACTCTACTTCCCCCACCAGCTACTGCCCCATTTCTCTGCATGCATGAGCAAAATTTCTCAAAATAGCCATCTATACTAGCTGCCTGCAATTTCTTTCCTTTCTCTTCTTAAACCCCTCTAGCCAGTCTTTCACAGTCACACTCCACTGAAACTATTCTTGTCAAGGGCAAACTCATCAATGACCTAATGGTTATTCTCAGCTCCCCTCTTGCTCAACCTCTCAGCATTTCACTGGGCTGATCACTCTTTCCCCCTCTGTATACTTTTCACTTGCATCAGGGAGACCATACTCTCCTGGTTTCCCTTCTACCTCACTGGTTCATCCTCCTCTCTCCAATAATTCTTAATCCTAGAGTGACTACAGAAAGTGCTCCTCTTAACTTTTCTAACCTATTCTCTCCTTTGATGACCTCCCAGGATGATAGCTTGATACATCATCTTTCTGCCAATAACATTTCAATTTTTTTAATCTCCAGCCTAGGCCTTTCTCTAGAATTCCAGACTCAAATGTCTTTCTCCTTGACATCTCCCCAGGATGTCTAATAGACACCTCCAACCCAACACATCCCAAGAAATACTGGGTACTGCACACCAGACCTGTTCTACTTGGCAGCCTTTCCACCTCAAGTGATGAGTAGTTTCTTCCACTTGCTCAGGCCAAAAACTGGAGCCGTCCTGGACTCTTCTCATCATCCTGGGACTCCTGTCACATCATATTTTCACTACTGCTCTCCTGGTTCCAGCCAATGTCTTTCTCACCCAGGTCACTGCAACAGCTTCCTAATGATCAGTTTCCATCCTTGCCTCCTGACAGTCTGTTCTCAACATGGCAGTCAGAGTGAGCCATTTAAAACATGAGTTAGATGTCAATCCTCTGCTTAAACCATTCAGCATCTCACAAACGTAAAAACCAAAGTCCTTACTTACTCAAAGGCCTATGAGCCTCTGTCATCTGAACCCTCTTTCTTCCCCTCATAGCCCACTGCTCCAATGAGAATGGCAGTTACTCCTCTTCTGACATGCCAGGTGCATTCCTGTCTTAAAGCATTTGCAGACTGTGTCCTCTTTCTGAAATACTCCTCCCCCCAGATATCCATATGGCTAAATCCCTATAAAATATCACCTTCTCAATAAGACCTCCCCTGACATGCCCTATTTAAAATTACAGCCCTTCCTCACCCCCAAAACCCCAGTTTTGTTTCATAATGCTTGGCACTTAACACATATAGTTTAGTTTTTACTATGTTTATTGTCTGGGGAGCAGGAATTTAACCAAGAGTCCTACTGCAGACATGCTGAGCAAGGGCTGAGGATGGAGGTGAGGCTGGAGGAACATGAAGGGTGAGGATGCAGTACAAAGTGGGAGAAGATATTTGTTCCATATATAACTGGTTAAGGCTTAATAT